ACATGAGTTGGAAAAGCAGCACAAGGTGGGGAAGGGTAGCAAGGCTTTTGTGCAGCAGTGAATTTGCTGCAACAGAAAATGTGAACTGCTCAGTACATGTACATCACTGCAACACAACCTTCAGTTACCCGAGTTGTTAAAGGAAGAGTGTAGTGCTGGCAGAAAGTTGAATTGCTCATTAGTTGCTTTGTAATGTAGCTAATTGGTTTTGTCAAGGCTATGGAATATACAGGGTGTGGCTGATTGTCTTCCCAGTGTTTCATCTTTACAAGTGAAAATGACCTAAAAATGTTTTTTTTTTTAAAAATAAAACCAGAATGTATGGCGCATGCTGTGGATGGATGTCAGACCTCTGAATATCTGCTTTCTTCAGCCTTTGCGCCTGGCCTGTGGCCTCAGACTGTTCATGGGCCACTGGGACCCTTTCTGAAGTATAGCAGACATTTCTGGCATTCCTTCCTCGTCAGTGTGCACTCCCAAAGTAGGGCTGCCCAAAAACTCCTATGTAAAAGGACCAGCTCTGGATAACTGCAGTGTGAGAGCATGCAGAAATGAGTTAAACCGAACGGTATTTTCCCTGCAGGGAGAGCATGGTTAGTCTGTTAGGAGAGGACTGGGAAGGGAGGTCAGGCTTTTTACTTATGCACGCAGTAGATAAACCCACACTCTTCTTTTTTTCTTCGTAGGTAGTGGCCATGGAAGCAGCACTTTGCTCCCTCATACCATCATCAATGAATTTCCAGAATATGGCACGGTAGAGCCAAGCGGAGACACGCTGAGGGCTTCATCACTGTGCCAGGCAGAGCCTGTGACATGCAGTCCAGAAAGACGGGACGGTCACCACGAGGTAGCTGGCTCGCCCCTTCCTCAGCTTGCAGCTCCTGCAGACAATTTGAGACCTGACGCTGGAGCAGGACAGCCGTGTGCCCCAGAAGAAGGTTTGCAACCTGCAGGTAACCTACCAGAGATTATGAAAATCTCTCGATGGCTGGAAGCAACAAAGGTGCAAGAGAGAGCAAATACTTCTCTTGATTTAGAGACGCAAATGGAAAAAAAGAGTGTTACTGGCAGCCAAAATGTGCAGGCAGCCAGAGAACCAGTTCCAGCAGGCCAAGAAAAACCCTCAGACATGCCTCTTCCATCTGAACGAACAGCTGAGGAAAAAATGCATTTGATCATAGAGAAAGATCTGGCTGCAATATGGACTGGAGAAAAGCAGTCCGAGTCCTTTCAAGCCATCAGTAATAAAGCCGAGGAGGTCCACGCAGCGCAGGAGACAAGCTGTCATAGACCATCTGTGACAAACCTGGAAGCAGCCAGCAGAGTGGAGGGGTGGGCACTTTTTGAGGAGTTTTCAGCGTACAGTCAAGGCAAAATGCAAATGGGTCCTGAGAGGAGGCTCTCTAAAGAGGCAGCTGTGAGCAAACATGTAGAATTTCAAGGGGTGGAGATTTTATGGCTGCAAAAAGCCGAGGAGCAAAGAAGAAAGAAGCACTCACTGCTGGAGACTGTGCCCGTGGAGAGGAAGGCGTTCCCCAAAGCGTCCAGCCACCCTGCACCACTGATAGTCTCCCCAGGCTTGGTCTCCTCACCAGACAGCGCTTGGAGCAAAGTCTGTGAGGACCCGAGGCTGGGACCCGCTGCCTCCGGGGCCACTCCTCTATCACTCCTCAATGAAAGCAGGGAAAATGAAGTTTTTGTGAAGGACAAGAAGAACCGTGGTGATGAGGAGACGGCTGTGCTAGTGAGGGGCCACGGCAGGTGAGATGGCACTTGGGGGGGCACAGGGGACAGGCAGGGACAGGGGACAGGCAGGGTTTCTCTCCTCCCAAGGACATGGCTTGTGCCTACCCCTTTAGGAGCTAATGACAAACAAAAGCCTGTCTGCTGCCTGTGGCATGGTGGCAATGGTTGCAGTTCATGCCTGGTGGTGGCTAGTGCATGAAGTTTGGACGGAACTCCATCCACACCACCTTGCTGAAGTGTGAAGTCTGTCTCAGGTTTGGAAATGTAAAGATGTCTCTTTCTGTTTGCAGAGTAATGGCTGTGTGACGAAGCATCTGTAGCAGGTGTAGTTGGGATCTGGACCTGTCACGTAATTAAATATAGGCAGCATGCAGACCTGACTGTATGTGCCTGGCCAGATTTTCTCGTTTCAGGCAGAGTTTGGGCAAGAACGGTATGACCAACTCTGAGAGGCTGGATAATAAAGATGTTTTACCCAGGGCTTTGTATGTTATAAGATGGTAAATCCTGTGATGTGCTTTCTATATTATCTGTCTGTGTTTATATAATTTTAACTACATATATTGCAAAAATTGTGGCTGCTTTTTGTAAGGACATCCTGATTTGCTCACTTTTCTTTCCTGATGCACATCTGTAACAAAGCAAAGGGCCCCACCATCACGCTCTGAGCAAACTGTGCCTGCTCTGACCTGGAGGGGTGTTTGCTGCTGAAAAGAGGATCTCAGCAAGGGAGATGCTCCTGCCTCTGCACCTTGGGATCCACGGAGTTTTACTTTGGTTAGCGTGTGGGATCGCTCGAGTGGGCAGCCCTGGTGCCTGGCATGTGCTGTGAGAAGCCCCACAGTATTTGGTGCAGCAGGGAAGAAAACTCCACAGGGGGATACTACACCTTCCCCTGTGCATCTGCAAGCAGGCTGAGTCTTCCCCCTTCAAATATGGTTTTCCCAATTGTGGGTTTTTAATTGCATTTGCTTCCCTTTGTGTTTTTGAGGGATTTCCTCCAGCCTTTCACCGAAGGCCCCAGCCCTAGGCCTGCATAGCCAGCAAAAGTCCTCACAGGGCAGAGGCCCCATCTGAGAGCACATCTCTAACCTGTGCAGCCTTTGGCACGGCAGTGGTGCTGGCAGAGACCTTATGCATTTGTGAGTGCTCTCCTCCTTTGCACATAAGCACCTGATGTTATCTGTTAGGCCCAGAAGATTATTTCTTTTTATGTCCCTGGAGAAGGAGATGGTGCCAGTCATGAACAGAGATGGTGCAAGGGGAAACTAGCATTCTACCCACGGTGTACTCTCCTGACCTTTCTGTTTGCAAAGGTGGAAGGCGAAGAGTTCACCCAGAGGTCTCAGTCTTGTCCCCGAGCTGAAACGAGCTGTTTCTGATTAATTTCCAGGATGATGGAGGAGGGGGAAGCAGCCACAGGAGGATATGAAGATGTCCTTGGGCAGAGGCACTCCGATGTCTCCACTGATCTGTACAGCTCACAGTTCGAAAACATCCTAGACAATGCATCTTTGTACTACAGCGCTGAGTCGCTGGAGACGTTGTACTCAGAGCCCGATAGCTACTTCAGCTTTGAAATGCCACTCACTCCCATGATCCAGCAGCGCATGAAGGAGGGCGGCCAGTTTTTAGATCGGACATCAGCCTTGGGGCAGCCAGATGTCCTGCAGCTTCCCCCTGACGGGGAAGTGAAGGGCTGTGGTGAAGGCATCGCCAATGGCTTAAGGGATGTAAGCGAAACACTCTTCAGAGGAGACGTTACAGAAGTCCCTCGTTTGGAAAGGTAAAAGCAGTGGGTGAGCTTTCTGTGTGCCTGCTGATTTTTCCCTGATGTCTGTTTACTTTAGCAGACTGTTGTAGAGTAGTTTTGCCCCTTTCAACACTGCATGTTTTTCTGCACAGAATAATTTCCAATGTAACAGAGCGAGCTGCAGTAGAGAAGTGAGCCATCCAAACCTGCTGTTCATTAGAAAAGTCCAAATTTACTTTATGAGGGTTTTGTAGGTGATACTTTTGTCGATAAAAGGCTGGCTGGCATTATTGTATCTCTGGGACCTGACCATGGAGGAGTTAGTTACCAGTTACAGATGAACTTTGTTCAGCTCCAGTTATACCTGAATTTGTTAGCAGCAGTTTTAGGAACAATAACAGCCTGTGCACATGGACGAGTTGTCTAAATGCAGTTCATGATTTGGATGTTAAAGGTGTGTCTCTGGGCGTAGCTTTTTCTCTTGTGAGGTGAGCGAGAATTTTGCCAGTTACTTCAGCCGGGAGGAGGTTTTGCTCCCGTCACATTCACGGGATTAGAGGCTGTTAGCTGGTTCTTTCGTTTGTGCACTAGTTACTGATTGAGAGAGGAGGGAGCATTGCAAAAATGTTAATAATTTCCGTTTAGGTAAAGAGAGAGATAAGGAAACCTATTAAGAGAAAAGTCATGTGAGAAGCAAAAACTGTGGTCAGAAAATACTGTGTAATTGTAGGAACTTGCTCTATGAGTGAAATTTCCTCATCACGTGTTGCAAAGAGGGTGGGGAGAGTGAAAGGCAGCAACAGGCAAAGTGGAGAGTTGAGCCAAAAGTAGTAATCTGCAGAGGGGTGAGGGACCTTGTGAGTGACAAAGATACCTTGGGTCTCCATCCTCCAGGGACAGGATGTTGTCTGAGAGTCTGTAGACTATTCCCTTAGATGACATCAGTCTAGTCTGAGCTTTCCTGGGAGTCAGTGGCGGGAGGTCTTTTATCTATTTTGTTCCTTTTGTACTAGTGTGAAAGAAGTCCTTTGAGTAGAAGTAGTTTTGCTAACTTTACGGATTAAGGTACAGTTTGCCCTTCAAAGAACAGGCAGAAGGACTTAGCAGTTTAGAATGGTTTTTTCCATCAATCCTACTGGAAAAGAAGTTGTTTAAATCTTATATGACCCCGAGCTGCTTGGTGCCAGTAGGCATTAAGTGACTGCTAATCTGGTACAACTAGTACGGAGACAGAAACTGAGGTCAGTCCTGACGCTTGTAGCTCCTTACTTCTACTGAAACCAGACATTGCCATTAAGGCTGAGCAGTGCAGGACATGCAGCATGTACAGACCCTGATTCTCTTACTCCATGGTTGCAGCATCTAGTATCTAAAAAGTACTGTCAAGTAAGGCCCGCATTGGCTTATCAAGACAGAAGTTATCATGAAGATGAGGTGTGCTTAGGTAGTGCTTAGAGACACATTAGATGCCTGCCTAGTGTGGATTTCATTAGGAATTAAGTTAATTTTAGTTTAAATTTGCAGCCATAGTGATAAACCAACAGATGATTTTTAAATTCTTCTTTTTTCCCCCTTAATAAAGAAAGAAGTGTTCACAACAGTGGGGTTTGTTAGGAAGCTCAGCTGTTGTAGTTTGTAGGGCTCTGTGAGGCTTGCTCTCGTAAGGCAGGTGCCGATAGAGTGTAGCTGCAGCAATACAGCCAGCCATGGATGTGCCCAACAGGGTAATCCTCTGGACAGTAACCTTATTAACCACCCCGTGGCTCCCCATGATATTCTAATATCATGTTGTATTGCACCAGGCTACAGGTGACTGACGGATCGTGTGTGCTATATTGTTGAATGTCATGAATCACAGTGTTAACAGCGTGTGGGTGAGGAGCACTGTGTCCATGCTGGGGGTTGCAGAGGACTGATTCGCAGAGAGGTCAAGATGGTGTGTCACTGTGATGCTCTGGTGAGCCAGCAATAGCCGCCTGAGCCATGGGTACTATTTCTAAGAGTTTGCATGTGCGGTTGTATTGCCTGAAGTAATGCCAGACTTGTTTTTTCAATTGAAAGTCCGCATATATGATACATATGCGGTAGCCACTGCGACACCTTTGTGCCTTCTGCTGCAAGTCCTTGTTTCCTACAGTGCTGCAAACCTATGGTTGCGTTGGGACTGTAGTATCCTGAGCGTAGCACCTGCCTGGCTCTGCAGAGCATCAAGGGGCACCCACTGAAGTGGTCTAGCTCTCCTGGAGAATGAGGTGGGAAAGGCAAGCCCACCACCCTACCAGATGGCAGGCAGCGTTCCCTGGCCCTGCATCCCGCAGCCGGCCGCCGGAGTGGTCAGGCAGCAGCTTACCTGCGATATAGCCTGGAGCCACCACAGGTCTTTGTGCCCTCTGCGAAGCTGCCGGCTCTCCCTGAACTCAGGGGCTCCTGCAGCTCCCTCTGCCCGCCCTGGGATGTGAAGTCACGGGTGGGCAGGTGGAGGCAGGAGAGAGAGCAGCTAGAGGACCCCATCCTGCAGGGATGGAGGCAGGTGTGGAGTCTCAGCCTGTGAACAGTGGCAAGTGCAGAGTGAGGCAGGGGAGTTTGGGATGTGGGGGACTTGGGAGCAAAGCAATGCAACATTGCAGTGTGGCACAACAAGAAGCATAATAGCCCCCCCCCCCCCTTTCCAAAAACACACGCGGCAACACCAAG